TTCAAAACTGAGGTTCGACTGGTTATTCGAAACTTCGAACTTCTCTAAAAACTCAACGAACTTTCTTGTGTAGATGTTTTGCTCAACCTACACGCAACAATTTCATTTCAATTATGTTTATAAAATTAGTATAATATGTGCACAACATAAAAACAACATGTCATTTTAACGCTTTAGTTGGCCCAATAATGCCAAACAATAAAATATATACCCAACAAAGATTGCACTTTTCCGTTAGGTGCCGTTTGCTGGATTTCAATTTTCGCGCATGCGCACAAAAGCCGAAAATTCAGTCGAACTTTCGTCAATAAGTTCAAATTTGGTCCAACTCGTACTAGAGGAGGTCCCTGACCTTCTATAGATCCTAGAGTGTACCCCAAAGTTCACCTGAGGTGAGCCATCCGGTTTTCCTTGAGTGTCTGTTCCAGGTCCGCCCCGGCGTTACAGTAACTCTTCGCACTCCCGTTCATATTGGAACAACCAAGACGTTCGATGTCATCCACTGTCACCACGACTTCCTCTCTAGCGGTAGGAGCATCCATCGCGATCCGCCGCACTCTTTTCGGCGATGCCAAATGCCCCATCTGTGACATTGCTTACCGTGGAAGTGTCCCGAGCGTAGAGGTAATCAAGCTCCCCTTTTTTGAGCCATATGTCACCCCATGAACTATATCGCTTTTTGATTTGTTTGTTTTAGCGAGTTCCCCACAGATTTGCACAACTCGGCACCCTGTTGAAAAAAAGAAATTATATGGTGTAACAGAAACAAAAGCAGAACTCCAACAAATATTATATCATAAATAGATGTTGATATACTTTTGAGTATCCTTGAATGTTTGTTGAAAGTCACATTTATTTTTACTATTAAAAGGACAACAAATGGAAATGCTGCAGGCAGAAACGTGTTGCAGCCGGCACGAAAAAAGCAGGTGCTCGCGAGAGATTTAGATGCAGCACGCCGTGAATGGGAAGTTATAATCTGACATAACGCTCCAGAAAGCAAGATATTTCTTTCTATACATGTTGTGTTTTTGTTTTTCACTAAAGAAATGCGGACAATACTATCAAGTTGTTCTGTATCATATATTTTTGTTCGTTGTATACAAATTCTCAGATACAAATGATTACGAATGAGCTCAATATGTAAGAGGGCTTCGTGACCCGTGTAAGGTTGCCTGGGAAAGGCCAAAAAGGAGACCTACGGTTTTACCTTATGCGCATAAGATCTCGCACAACCACAAAAAAGTAGCGCAAAGTCAATGGAGTGCCAGTGGTTTGGTCGGCGCCTTTGAAGTTCCTGCGCTAAAGTTGAGTAGTTGCAGTTTATAACATCAAACTGTCCTGTTGCTATGTTTACATCGGACAGGCCGGCAGATGTATGCACGAGAGGTTAAGAGAGCATGCTCTTTCGGTTAGATGATCGCCAGCAGGAAACTTGGGAGTACACTGTGATAGGCGCGGTTGCAAACCTATTTTTGATAACACGAGTATCTAAGGACGACACAGTCAACAGATGACTAGAGCAATTTTAGAGGCCTCTTTTGTTTTAGAGCATAAAGAAATGCGCGCCACTTGGCCTCCTATTGCATTATTTGACAAATAGTTGGCATTCTTGAGCAGGTTTAACACGTGCGGGGGGCGGTGACTTGATGTGTTTGATGGTCCGGGATGCTTGTTCATTTGTGTTTCCTTGCAATAAATCAGTTGAGATTCAGCGCTCTGTTTGTACACTTCGTCTTCTTGTCCCCTGTTGTTGTGTTTTTTTGCGCTGTTTTACTTTTAGTTCATCATGTACCACCAAAGCTCCTAACTGGACACTTGGCGAGAAAGTCGACGAGAAATCCCGGAGGCAATAATTGGCGGGTGCCAAGGTCAAGTGCGGCGCTGGCCAATCACGGCCGCCAAGTTTCTCGCCGACTTTTTCGCCAAATGTCCAGATTAGGGCCCAGCTTTTGGGTAGTCTCGCCCAACTTTCCACCATATTCCTGTTGCCGCGGGCGCAGCTAGCCAAGTTGGAGGCGCGCCCGTGCCCGAGCGTTTATCGTGCTTGGCTCCCGCGCCAAATAGTCGAGGTTCGATGCCTGGCTGCTGGTACACCTTTTCAATGCGAAAGAATTTACTGTCCCATGGAGCCAGCCAATGACATCAGCTTTGAAGCTGCGCCGAACAGCACCTAAACTCTTTACAACAATTAAAGCCGCGATCTGATGGCTCCCAGGTTTGATGCCGCACAAAAAGCCCAGCCAAACGTCCCCTAGTTTCCTTCCAATGATGCGAAGTGAAGCCGAACTCTGATGGACTGCCATTGAAATCCCATTGGCTGGCAAGCCTCATAATATCATGGGACGAGGCTCCCATTGGCCGGAGCGCGTTAATTTAAAGGAAGGGCACGCCATGGCGCTGCGGGCTTGTGCAGCCCGCGCACCGGTAAGACGAAGCAGCGGAACCACATGGACTTACGCGCCCTGCGCCGGCAAAACGGACACGGTGGAGCGCGCTCGGCGGTTTCTGCTCGTCTCGTCGCCGACAAACATGGCGCCGCATCAAGCATCCACGTCGTCGGCGCCCACCACATCGGCAGCGACGCAACCTGCCGGTCCACGCAAGTGCAACGCGGACGAACTAAAGGAGCCAAACAACGTCATGCATGATTTCGCGTTCACGACTGATAAGAAGTGCCTAGGCGTATCACGAGCCTTTCTTTTGTTTGTTTGTTTGACTTGCGTCGGAGTGCTGTGGCGTCTTAAGCACGATCCAAGCAAACGCGTATTTGTGCGCGCGTGGGCCGTGCGCTTCCCGGAAATTGCGTATTTCGTGACGTGTTTGCTATTTCCGGAGCGCTTTCCGAATCACAGCCATGCGCGTTGGTTAGGACGGTGCGGCTTCGGGCGAGCGCGCACGCTTACACGAGCGCACTCTGACGGTGAGTGACCGCCAATCGAAATGCAGCTTCGTCTTTCTTCTGCGCGTCCGGTGCAGCCTTCTTTTTGGCTGCAGAAGTCACCTTCTTTGCGTCGAAAACAGGGGGAAAGTTCACAGACGCTGCCGTACTTGCAAGCTAGCAGAGAGCATCTGCGCCAGACGACGTGTGTGTGTAGGCGTTGCAAAAGTAGATGAAGGGGGGAGGGGGGGGGGGTGGAGAGGGCCAATTGCGCTAGACGACGAAAAAACGCGGAGCCGGAATCAATGCCCCACACCAATTGGCCGGGAGCCAAGAGCGCCCTACTACGTCCGTGCGCGTTTTCTTGCGCCTTCAGAAAAAGTTGAAATTATCCACCTTCCTCATGTGCTCCTGAAAGGCGCACGGTGTCAGCGCAACGTCACAAAATAAACAATTTCCGGGAGCCGCACGCCCAAAAACGCGTGGGTTTGGATCGCGCTTTAGGCGTTTTTCCGTAGTGTGGTCCTGGTATTTCAAGGACGTACTGCAGGATTTGGGACGTTCAGCTTGTTAAGCTGCAGACTTCCGTGGCAGTCACCGGAAAGAGACATGATGTCGTTGAGGGTATGGGGTGTTCGCAGCGAGGCAAAAGCGGTCTTGCGGGTCAGTGCCTAAAGAAACTTAACTTTTCGCTGGAGGGCACCGCGAGACATTGTTTCGAGAACCACGAGGCTTCACTGACGCCGTGAGACATCTATGTGGCGGAGTTGCAGCGGACGTTCGCCAATCCTAAACGGACGGGAGACGGCAGAGAATCTTCTCCAGATATGAACCCAGGGCCCCAACGAAAGCGTCACAAGCCTTATGGAACTCATCCTGTGTCTGAGCGCTCGAAACGACCCACGAGCTACAGACGACAAGAAGCTGCGAGTCCCCATGCGCGGGGTGAGAGCCATCTTTGAAAGCCTCGTCCGCAACCCGCCGGCCACCACCAAAGCCTTCGTCACCGAGGCAACACGCATCGAGCGCGCCCTCAAAGCGCGCGCTTCCCAATACCAGCGACATCTAAGCGTTGCTGCAACCACGCTGCTTAGCGGTGAAAACGCTACCGTTAGAAGCATACGCGAAAGTATCCGGGAGATCGTCCGGGAGGAACTCCGCAGGTTGCTGCCAGCCGCAAGTCGTCCAGTGACACTCTCCGTGTCCGAGGCTGCGCGCGAGGAAGTGCGACGGGCGGTCAACCCTGAAGCTCCTATCAACACGGCGACACCGGAGGAACCGGCGTTGATTTACGCTGTAATGGTCGGAAGAACTCCACTAGCCCCGCGCAACCCTTGGAGGTGGAGTTGCCGTAGACCGCCGACGTAAAGATCCTCAAAAATAAAATTGAAAGCCGTTCACTGTTAAAAAAAGTGCCGTTATATTACAGAACCGTACTGCGCTAACTCATGATGCCAGACATTATCTGTAACCCTCCGTAATACCACCAAAGCCGTAGCTGACAGTTTACATTATCATTTCTGTACAGCAGACATACAGCAATATAAGCGCAGTACGCAAGTACAGGACTAAAGCCGCAAACTTACCTCGAGGTATCCAAGCCGTCGAGTGTTCAGACGGTATTGAAGGCGTAAGGGAAGGGTACGTTTTCAGTCCCGTATGTTCATACTGCACTTCCATTGCCGTATTGTAACGGTAACAGTTCAGTTACCGTACCCTTCCCTTACGCCTTCAATACCGTCGGAACGCTTGACGGCTTGCATACCTCAAGTTTAGTTTGCAGCTTTAATCCCGTACTTGCGTACTGCACTTCTATCGCTGTGTGCTCGCTGTGCGGTAACAATAATGTGAACTCTCAGCTACGGCCTTGGTAGTATTACGGAGGGTTACAGATAACGTCTGGCATCATGAGTTAGCGCAGTACAGTTTCGTAATATAACGACAGATCCTTATAAACAAGTGTAGTGTGTCTGAAAAAAGGGACAAGAGAAAACGGAGGCAGTTTTGAAATTGAAGAACTATATTGTAAACCGTAAAAGAACATAATTATAAAGAAACCTTCATGGCATCCGATCAATCATCAGATGAGCTGAAAATCAAACAAATTCATATTCAGATGATTGAAAAGGCTACGGGAGGACCACAACCACTTGCACAAATTGCAGAGGCGCACGCACATGAAGTCACAAAAACCTGTACAGCGGGGCTCCCAAGCTCACAGAGCGATGCTCTAAGCCTCTAATAGCAGTGCGCAAAAACACAAGGACAAAGGGAGGAAATGCACAAGGCGAGTGCTGAACTTCAACTAAATGTTTAATGAAAAGGAAACACCGAAGTCCTGTGCATTCGTCCCTTTGTCCGTGTGTTTTTGCATGCTGCTACCAGTTGTAATCATGCACCAACTCGCCTGTGCATTGCCACATTGAGCCACTCAGCACCATGACAGATCAAGGTTGCTGCCCTCGACCCCTGTGAATGCAGTGTCGTGCCGCTATTTGCTTTTCTTTTTAATACAAAACAAGACTGGAAACCTTTTGATACCACATCGTACACATGCCAAATCAAATATGTACTCACACTGTTCCATTTTTTCTCAAAAGCAGCAAGATCTGTGGCGGCTTTGATTGCTCTTGCCCGAGCTCCTTTCGACCTCCCGGCCTCCTGTCGTGACCCATCATGTTGTTTGATACCAACTTGGTATCTGAAACAAATAGCAGATTGGCCCATAAGTATTTGGTCAGAAACCAGACAAGTGAAAAAAGATTGCAGTGAAGGATTTGGGATCAGTACTTGCTGATATTTTACATGCACAACTAATGTCGAAAGCCCCAAGCTTTGCCACCAAAGTCACATAGGTGCACAGTTCAAAAGTATAAGTGTGTTGAAGGTTCCTAAAATAACAATTAAGCCATAACAAGCTGAGCAAAACCTACATTTAGGCCAGCAGACTGTGCACTGTGCACTTAAAGAAAATATGTCAAGGTACAAATTCATGCCTAAATTTTGAGGAAAATAAAACAATGAGGGAACAACAACAAAAAATATTGTAATAATGTGTCATTTTTCTGCAAGAGGAAAAAATCTGGCACTCAAGGCTTTCCTCACTCAGATGCGATGGGGATACAGAACTCGGAATATTTCAGAAGTTATAAGCCCCATGTGGCACATCTTAAGGGGTAGGATTCATATAATGTAACTTTTAGACCTACAAAACACTAAAAACATGTTGATTTAAAAAGATATTGAACAGACAGCGATGTAATTGATTTGAGTCATTTGGGAGAAGCTTTGGAAGCAAACAAAAGTAAATTTTATAGCAGCGACATAAACAGAAGAACAAGTACATACTTCGCGCCAGGGATGGGCAGTACTTCAAATACAAGTATTTCAACTACGTATTTCAAATACTTTGTGTATTTTGCATTTGTATTTAATTAAAAATTCTGTAATATATTTGACGTGTGTATTTAAATACTAAAACGTGTGTATTTCAAATACAATTGTAATTAAATACAATTTTGTGGGTGAAAATACATCCCTCAAATTTATTGTCACTGTCCAGAGCAGGAAGAAAACTACGTTCTGCACCGAATGCAGTGTCTCTCAATCAAGCACAAGCGTTTAGTGACTTTGTAATTACGGTGCTAGTCCAGGGAAAGAATAGTGACGAAATCGACCTTTACTGGCAGACTGGCTAAATAAGTGACGGTGACAACTTGTGATGCTTTCCAGCCTGATTTCCATCCATACTTTTGCCTCGAACATTCTAAATGCACGGGTCATCCAGATGTTTGTAAGTGGTGCGAGTTGCAACAATAAAAAAATCTGTAGCTAGTGCTGCGCGTCTTGGTCGTCTCGGTTCTTTGATTGCCTATACCAAAATGTAATAAAAAAAAAAAACTGCTTGAAGCTCTGTACTTTTTTCACCTATTACGTCCAAGCTGATTACATTTTTTTTCGCGATTATATTTGTATTACGTTACTAGAGCCTCGAGCACTAACTCCCGAGTGTGCGATGCAAAATTAAAATGAGATACCCAGAAACCTGTTGCAGGTGCCCTGAAGTCGCTGAAGCAAATTTTAAGGAATACATTTGGAAAAGTATTTGGAAGAGACCAACTACATTTGGTTGTATTTGTATCTTGTACTTAAATACTTTTTTGCAAAAGTAATTAGATTTGCAATTAAATACATTTTTGACGAAGCATTTTGTATATGTATTTCGATACATATTTGCATGTATTTTGCCCATCCCTGCTTCGTGCTTATTTCTTTTATTACAATACAGCATTAAAATTTGTCTGTTGTCCTACACAGTCACAAAGCAATTCCTCCTCTGCATTCCTACTCGTAATTAAGCAAGCACTCATTTGCATAATTAGTATTGCAGACAGTTGAATGACCTAAAATACTCAACTAGCTGTTAATGATTGCTTAAAAGCAATAGACATGGCAAAAGGAATGTTGTAAGAGAATCATTCTCTTTTTTTAGGAAGCCACATTTTGGCCAGCCACTGTCGAAAGAACATACGATTGATGAACATGTATAAAAACGAGAAAAAGGTATTCAGGTACAAAATCAAACGTGAACCAGATGCTACTAAAACATGCAGAAATATAGCTTCAAAAAGTTGTGAAAAGGTTGTATATCAGTCAAATTTAGTTATGAATTAGAGATCATCTGCACATATCACTTCTAGGCACTTTTAGAGTGATACAGAATAGTGTGGTGCGGTAAAGAAACTCCTAAATAAATAATTAGCTGAGTATATTAAACATATTTCAAGGCTCCAATTTGTTTCCAGCCAAAAATAATTTAATGATGTATACTGCTTATGACTCTGCCTTCTAACTGAATGCCAAATAGAATTATAAGTAAATGACACATTCAGTAAAGATAAAACAATAGGAATAGTAGATATATTGACATATTTATTTGTGATTTCTGGGATAGGATCAAACATAGTCACATTGTAACATTAGGTGAAATTTTTAAATCGAATTATTATGCAAGATATAACAACCTTTAAAGTAACTGAAGAGTGTGTTGATAAAATTCACAGACCACAGAAAGAACAAAACATACCCGGACGAAGGACGACAAACATTTCTTTTAATTAACAACATGAATGAGCTTAAAAGCACTTCCTTTAATTCATACCGCCAAGGAAATTGAGAGAAAGGGAGGCAGAAAGAGAGAAAGGTAAGTGTCAAAACTTGTAAGGAAGGAAATAAGAAAAAGAGTGAAGTAACAGCATGAGTTACAATTCTAACTTTACACTTTCCTTTTTATCTTCCTGCCTCCCTTTCTCTCCATTTTCTTGGCAGTCTGAATTGCACGGATTGCTCTTAAGTTCATTCCTGTTGTTCTTAGTTGAAAGAAATGTTTGTCGTCTCCTTCGTCCAGAGCACGTTTTATTCATTCTGTGGTCCAAGAATACAACACCCTATTGCGGTTTAATAATGGACTCTGAAATTGAGCTTGGAAATGTGGGTAGCCAGTGACAAATTAAAGAGCAACTCTACTCAATTTAAAAAATTTCAAGATAGTGGATGACCTTACTTTGAAAAGCACTCATGAACAACTCTACATTGTTTCACGAAAAGTAGAATATTGTTTGTGCAACTTTGCAATTTATAACTCAAGTCGCAAATTGAAACCGAAACTTCGGCAAAGGGCAAGCAGCGACGTCAGTTGCATGCACACTCATGTCCATAGCAGATGCATGATCACGTGATTTACCCCACTCACTGGGTCAACTCTAGGTAGTGTTGTCTGAACTGACTGGACATGTGATGGCGTTGAAAGAGAAAAAAGCCGGTGTATACAACAGATATCAACATGACGTCACATCTGAAGGAAGTGCCAAAGTTGGCTAGCCTGCACATCGCTCGCTAAAATTAGCAGATTAGCGCTTGTCAAACTTTGAGGGTCCAATTTTATATACAGAAAGATTTCAGTTGTAGCCTTCCTAGATGATTATAAAGAGAACTAATCGTTTTCTCAGCCAAAATTCAGCAGAGTTGCTCTTTATTGCCTCTCATGAGGCTCAAAATTATGAAGGAAATAAGCCATACCTCTGAATGAACTCAAGTGTGGTTCCCGCACCTTTGGCATACTGGATGTTTAAACAATAATAAAGGGCGAAAAGGAGCTCCACAGCTTGCTGAAAGCCCACATCTTCCACCATCACCTCATGGTCCACAAACAGCTGGCAGCTGCATTCGAAAAGTGAGCGGCCTAGGAAAGAAACAAGCGATTAATGTAATTAATGCGGAGAAAATGTGTTAGTATCAGATGTATCGACCTATCTAGTCAAGTGACCAGAAAAGTCATGCGACCGACACCACTACGCCGGCTTTTTCTCTAATAGGGCTTTTAACGCTCACGCATTAAATGAAGAAAAAAATACCATTGTCATATTCACATCTGGAAACTTGTATAGAGGTATTACCAGCAGGGACACTGAATAGGTAGGCACACTGATATAGGATTGTGACGCATATCTGAGATCTGAGACTGAGATGCATCACAATCACAGATAAGGCACACCTTATATGCCAAGCCAAATAAGGGTCGCACTAAATAGTGTTGAGCTACCATACTCAATAATGCCATTAACGGCCGTATTCTTAAACGGGCCTCGACTCGACACTCCACCTCGACTCACTGGAGTGGAGGAAAGCAGCTCGCCTCCACTCCAGGAGCCATCGGGCTTCACAGACGCGCCTCGGCGTTTCCTCGGCTGAGGAGCTCCTCGAGAACACTTCCTCCACTCGAGGAAACTCGAGGAGACGTGAAAGGCGTCTGGTTACGAGGTTGTAGTAAGAAACGAAGTTGAAAACAATATTGTGGTGTGAATTATGAACGTATTAGTTCATTTTCTTTGAAGGGACACATTTTACTAGCATTGAATCGGGAGTCTGCAAGATTTCTGTTTCGCAGTGCGCATGTTTTATGCGTTGCGGCCGGTTTTCGGACAAACAGCCACAAGCGTTCTCCGGTCTGGCAACGGTGGCGGCCGCTCTCCAGCTTTTGCGTCGTAGAGGCAGCTGTAGCTCGCTACCGTCGTTCGTCTCTGCGTCTCGCCCGTTCTTCGCCGTCTCACCTCGTCTCACCGCTGACCTGCTTCGCTGTCACCGCCTAGAACGAGCATTTTCACCCTTCCTCTTTCTTCAGAGTCCTACTAGAGTGCCTTGCCCTACAACGATGTCGTTCAACGAAGGTGACAAGAAGGGGCGAATGGTTCCACGAAGGAGGGGAGCTTCTTCGTCGTTCTACTAACAACTCCCCGAAAGAAGCTAAAATTGACGCGTAGAAGAGTCTTCACCAAGTATAAGCGCCAGCCGCACGTCCGCCCACGAGTGTTGGGACAACGGTAAACCCAAGTGGAAGAAAACAGACTCCGAGAAGAATCAGGGCATCCACGCAACAGGTGTGTAAGCAATTTCTATATTCGGGCAGAAAAACGCAACGGGTTCGCAAAATCACATGACAGGACGTGTGTATTAAATAACTCTGCAAGGGACTTTGCTGTGGCCACCTGCAGCTAGTCAAGCATGTTATTGTCGAGGCCGTAGGTGGGCAGTGACGGGGAATTGTCGCTATCTTTGGTGTTTCTTGTGCCGACGTCGACAACTTACTTTGCGTGTTGTGCTATATCCAGGCGAAAATTACGCTGAGAACATTCTGGTTGCGCCACACTACCTTAGCCTCCGGCCCCTTTCTTGAGATTAGAGAGGCAACCAGGACTTATAAAGAAAAACGCGACGCACGAAACTGACACTAGTGCACGTAGAAGTTACGCTAAGTAGGAGTTTCGACTATGTCAGTTAGACCTAGCACCTCATCTCCTTGTGTGCTAATCTTTTGAAGAAAAAAAAATCTTGTGCAGATTTAATTGACTACCAGCTCTCATTTCTTAATTGTAACCTCCTAAGAAATGCCATTATGTGAACATGAGACGTGCTGGAGTCCAGTTGACAGATGCCTTTTTTCAGATGTCCATGTTAGTGTGCAACCATTGTCATTTATTTTCGAGGTTAACCAGCGCATTGTACTGGTATGATTAAGCTGGCACAAATTTAATATGGGTAGAAGTATACATTATTGATTTGAAAAGTTGTGTGTCTACAATATGACTGTTGTCGATGATCACATTAAGCTACTCCAGTATTTTCCATGCATATCAAGAAACAGCACAGGTATGACATCACTTGTTTCGCATTTATTTCTTGCAGTTAAGTGTTGAACAACAAATTGTACTGTATAAGTTGTAGTATGATTTGTTTTTCTTTCTGCATTGTGCTCTGTACATCTCAACTCATGGATGCTGTCACAGGATATTCTTCGGCCTTTCATTGCAGGCGGGGGGCACTGGTGTCGCACCCGCTGAACAATGAGCCCGTCCCTCCATCTTGTGGGGGCACTGGTGTCCCGTATGGCAATGCGGCTGCCAAGCCCGTACAACAGTGGCAGCGCCCGCGCTGGTTGGCCGGTGCTTTCAATGCTGCCAGCCGCCATTCCCGAAGCCACAGTGAACGAGCGTGACAACTGACATGATGCCTGGTAAAAGTTTTCAATTGCATTTGCTACGTACCCATGATGGTTAGTTGCTACTTGATCACACAGCTTCCAATGTTTATTTGTAAAAAAATCTGTCTCTGCTCATCCGTTTATTATTTCGATCTTGGCATACTGTCTCGTAGGAACGCTAAAAACTGTGACAATGAGCCACATTTCATGAATGCTACTTGTTAGGGGTGCCTCATAGGAACACAGTAAATTCCTTGGGTCTGGATAATGATATGTTTATTGACGAATACACCACACGTGTGCCCAAGGGCCAACAAGGTCCGAGATAACAGCGCTGTTTCTTTTGACGGTATCACCATTTGGAGTCTGCCCTGCCGCTACTGACAGTATCACGGAAAGGAAAGGGTCAGAACAAGGAAGGAAAACTTTCATGTTTACCAACAGTTGGCATTTAACATTTCTGTAATGAGGTCGTTGTGACAGTTTCTACCAGTTCTCCGGTGTCTTCACCGTGCGTGTAACACTCGGCGTCAATGTGTTGTGCGTGCCTAGATTCACCTGCCTCACCGCTGCTGGACTGGGGTGGCATCATGGAGGTTGCGGTTGCTGCGCCACCAACCAAGCCCCCGCCTCCTCTACCTCCTCAGCCACGTGTGGTTGACCGAGTGAAGACAACTAAAGGCCGCACCAACTGAAGGAGCTGCACCTGCTGCAGGTGGAGCTACGTCAGAGTCAGGCTGTCTATTAACAGACGCAGGCCCAGGTTTTCCATCAGCAGCAGTGTTATTTATGTAATGTCTCTTTTATTATTGTGTAGTCCATGTGCAGCCTCGCTCATTAAATGCTGTTGTCACAGAGTTTTGCCATAGTTTTCATTGAGCTAAGACCTCTCATTTCCTGTCCAGGGGTTTGTGCCTCGCAATCCTCTATGAACTTGCACCGCCTACCAGAGTAAAGTCGACACCACATTGACGAGGCTTGCCCACTGCCTTTTCATTGTGGAGGCGGCGCCGTGTCACAGAGCTTTTGGCTGCTTGTCCAAAGATCCCCAGGTGGTCAAAATTAATCCTCACTTCTCTGCTGGGGTGTGCCAGATGCCTGTCGTTGGTTCGGCATGTAAAACCCCCAAATTTGACTTCACTGCCTTTTCACTGCACACTACTACAGTGCCGACGTAGCAATTGGGCCCAAGTTTGCAGCTGACCACACAGTGATACAGTAATTGAGCAGCATTTCCAGCTAAACCCTGGTCGGTGCTCACCTCATTCATGCTCGCATTCAGTAATACGTAGTGTGATGCCATCGGTTTGAGTGCATGGGCCCTGCATGCTTGTTTAAGTAACTGTTAGGTAGGACACCCTTGACTGCCTAACACCCGAAGGTGTCCTCACAAGGAATTGCTGCGCTATTGTAATATTTATTCTAACCGAAAACTCTTCATGTGGGGTCACAGCTGCAAGACATCATTTCAGACATTCTCATGTATAAGTTTATTTCAAACAAATGTGCACTGAACAACTCGCTGAAAAGTCTCGAATGAGCACGGCAAAATTTTGAGTTATTTTAATGTAATTACCTGAAGCTTCTCACTTTCTTTGTATCCTGCTACCCCCCTGCTTTGTGTGATGACGAATATTGAATTGTTCTCGAGCAAAATGTTTCCACAACAAAGAGGGCAAGTTGGTCTTGCTTCTTTTGGAAGATTGATAAAACAGCAACCACCAGTATAGTTTCAAAACACTGTCATCCAGCGGGAACCTGAGTAGAACAAAGACATTGCAACAATCTGTGGTGACCAACTAGCTGAGAAACCGGCGGATTTGTTTCAGTTAAAATTAGAAAATGTGTGGCCATAGTATAAGGTTGATTTGTTTCTGGCCCGATTGCATTTTGAGCTTTAACATGGCCAGTGACTTGATTCTTCGGTGACCTAAGCTAAAAAGGACATGCTCTGCATTCAGTTCCTACTGGAAACACCACACAACGAGTTGAGCCCGCACCCATGTCCCGTTGAATGTGTCCACGGGGTCTGGAGTCTATGGGAGATGAGACTGCCTTCAGCATCGTCAGTGGTGGGTGGGACTGGTAGAGCGGGAAGTGGCTCGTTTTGCAGGTGGGCCAAGTTTTGCAGTGCAAGTCCACCAGTGATCATCACAGCTGACCATTCAGGCTTGTGCTGCTAGCACATGTCGAGGCACGGAAAGTGCCTAGGCCCGCTGCACTGAGTTCCTAGTCCAGAAGTGGGCCTTTTGGTAACTACATAAGACAAACATGAAGAACAATACAGCACAATTATTGTTAGAATAGAAAATGTGGGGTTAGCTTGTGGAGTAGTGTATGTCCAATTAATGCTCAGACTACTGTTTTCGATAGAAAGTGCTGTGTATGATAACACTCTTCTTCAGATGTATACACACAGCTTTTTGTCGTGAGTGGATAATATCCCTTCGCGCACATCTTAAGCTTCAGAAAGTCTCTTTTAGATGGCTGCAGGCAGCAGTCCGGTTCGGGTGGTATGCTGTACGATATAAACTTTGGTACTAGTTGTATTTTCAGTACACCCTGAAAATACAACTAGTAAGCCGCGGTCTCATTTAAGCAACAAATGCCAAGAACCAACAAAGAACCAACCTCAATGAACAACAAATGTTATTGATCAGTGGGTGTTGGCCGTGCAGTTTGGTTTACACGACACAAGCACATGCACACACAAAAACTGTTCACATATGGGACTGTTGTAGTTAACAATTGCACACACAACTTAGTGAATGCCACCAAATCAATGCTTTCATGTGTATGTAGAAAGTAAACATTCGCTCATCATTTTCAATTTTAATTTAATTTTATTTTAAGTTTTCATGTCTGAGAATCTGACTATCAAAAAGGTACATCTGGGATGAGACTGTGTTGCAACACACATCGTCTCATCCCACATTCACTGGAAATGTGCTTTGGTCATGATCATTCTTGCAAGGAGGGTGCGCTCGGGCCGCTATCATTGTGCTCGGTAACCCGATCGGGAGTTCGTTTTATTTCAACGTAATTCTGGGTTCTCACAAGAGTCGGCAACCATTTAATAACATTTTTTTTCTTCATAAGAACGGGAGTACGTTCACGCTCGGTCGTGCAAACTGTCGCCGGATACAGATTTGTTTTAAAGTTTTGATTGATATCGTTACGTCAGAGTTTAGACCTACGATATCGCATCTCAGCGTACAGTTTGATTAATTAAGTTTGACACTCCTAACGCAAACAAAAGGGGTGAACTTACCTGCACGTTGATGGAGAAGTATCCATTTCTGTTTCGAGAACACTTCCACATCGGGACCGCCGGGTCCTCTTATCAATGCACCCTGGAATCTTCCAGGGTATGTGTATGTGTATCCAAATGAAGATTCCAGGGGCATCAATGCCCCTGGAATCTTCATTTCGCAGCAGCCCCGCTAGAACGCATTAAAGTTCGCTGCGCCCTGCGGGAGCTTCACCGAGCGGGTGAAAATGGTCCGTGCGAGGAGCCGCGAAACTCGCTCCGCAATCCGGCACACAGTAGGCTGTGCCATGTTCACATGGTTCCCGTAACAACTTGGAACGTCCTGGCACCATAAACGCTGAAAACAACGAGGAGCTGCAGCATCGTTGAGGGCGTCAGGCCCTGAGTACTCGCGCTCCTGGCAGAGACAGCAGAGTGCTCGCCGGTCGCCTTCGTGAAGCGGCACCGCACAGGAAATCCGCGGTCACTGAAGTGTTCCAGCGGGTTCAGGCGTTCTCTGAAACTTCGTCTCGTCACACGTCTCGATTCGCTGTCGCCTGCGTCGTCGTAGAGGATCTCTTCCGCGCTTAGAACGAAGTGCACGAACTCCGCGAACGACTCGCCGGCCGCCATGACACCCCAAACTCAAGTCGAGGAGCGGCTCGAGGAAGCGCCGGACCTACCTTGAGATTCTCGAGGAAAGAGTCGAGTATTTCCTCGAGTCGAGGAGCGTTTGGAGTGGAGGTCGGTTTATGAAGCGCAAAACCGGCCTCGAGTGGAGTTTCGAGTCGAGTTTGAGTCGAGGCCCGTTTATGAATTCGGCTGTAAGTTATGCAAAGTGCTCCTGAAGGCTTGAACAAAACAAAAAAATTGTATATGAGCATGTAGAATCAAACAGTTTTTGTTGAGTTTGTGAACAGAATCAGTAGCATGGAAGTCTGATGCCAACGTGCTATGCCAGTCGTCGGTTTCGTTTAAATTGCTTTAGCTAGAAATTAAATGACCGGAGACCGCATGCGACCACACATTCTACGAGCAGAAAATTTGGCTGTTCGGGTTGGACAAGACACAGAATGCAGGCCCAAACAATCAAATGCCTCACAGGCACCTGCTGTTTGGGCTGTATGCCATTTTGTGGCACCTGCACTCACAAACCAATATAAAAACTTCTCTTTTTCTTGCTGGATCAATCAAGCATTGATTGTCGAAGTATGGTATAATACCAGGACATGTGCTTTACATTGGTGCTTGATAAGGCTGCCGAAACCAAACAATGTGGTCGTCCATCTAGCTCTGGTCAAAATCGGCACACCACCCTTTGGTTACACCACTGCAGTATTCCAGCACTCTGGTTACACCACTACAGTATCCCACTACAATTGAGTCACTAGGAGTCATCTGCACTGACCCCTCTTCTCTCTCTCTCTCAAAATGGCACTACCCACGATAAAACGGTCTAGGTTGTTGTTCCAAAATTCAACACAAATTAAAAGAGAAAGCACCTTCAAAAATACAAAGCATGCAAGGAAAAGACACATGAAGCTCACCCAGTACAACAATTACAGGAGAAGCAGGCAGACTGTTACGAAACTCCTCTGTGATTTCTGTTGTCACCTAAGAAAAGTCAGAAAACATGTGTGGTTAATTGAGAAATGCACGAAATGCTAGTGAAGGTACCCTGCATCTATGGGTGTATATTTATTCCCACAGAATGTAGAACTGTGGGACACAAGCAAGACGACGTAAGGCGGATCGCAAAGAATGATGCCCGAAGAACTTATCGTGGCCGGCGACTTTACCGCAGATGCACGAATATGGGGATACAAGCGAGACAATGACAGAGAGTGCAATGTCTTCACACCCGCCAAGCAGGCCAATCTATGAATTCTCAAAGAAAAACAGACTGCCATTCGCATTGGCAAACGTCGCACTGAGAACGACACCACAAGACTTGACATGGGCCATACACAACATCCAAGCCCGAGTGCGAACTGCTCCGACGCCTTGGGAAGCAAGCACCTACCCGTCGAAATAAAATTAATGACAGAAAGACACCCCAACACTAAATGACAGATCAGCTTCATTAACCTAGCACCTGAAAAAGTGTCTAGGTGAGCGAATAATGAAAGCCACATCCACTCAGAAGTACCAAGCCAAACAAGACGACCCAGACCCCGACCTTCATCTCCTCAACTTGTGTGCTATCAGACTGCAAGCCCAACAATGTTACAGGAGAAATAAGGACTGAAAACTCCAAGCCAATTTCAATGCAACCACGGTGAAGATAAGAAATACACCCAGAAGCTCCGTAAACAACTGAGGTGCAAGCTCCGAGATAACACACGACGAGTGTGGGGCACATTCAAAGGACTCTGGCAGGAAGGCCGACAACTTTAAATCCACTGCTTCCTGGTACACCAAACCATTCCCAAGCAAATAAAACAGCGTCTGCCACCGCATGCGAGTTCCTGTCTTCCCTTATCCTTACTATCCTTGGTGACAACAGCGCCGCCTTCATTGAAAAAGACACAAAGGATCCCCTATTCTCCCAGGAAGCCAAACAACAGGCCCACTGAAAACACCTCACGGCTCTACTCAAAGAAGACAGACCCACTGCTAGATGGTAATTATACCAGGTGGGAAGAGGTTCGCCTGAAAAGACAACGGACCCACACCACTATGGTTTCCAAGGAAACAGCAAAATGTAACACCCACAAGAACATGGTGCATAAGCCGCCATACACAGGAAAAAGACAAGAGCCTCTGCGCCCACTGCGAGGTCACAGTCTCAGAAGCGCACTCCTGGTACTGCCCACACATGCAAGAACCCCAAACCTTGAAAGAGTTTGTTAATCCGACGGGTATTCGGGAATACCAAAAGGCTATTCTCCATTCACCCCTCACTTATGTGAAAGAGGTTCGTCTCACCCACTTTATTTTCATCTCACCCTTATTTCCTTTAACCCTTCATCCCACCTACAGGAGATAGCGTTTGCTGAGATTAAAGGATGCGGTTCCTGTTATTTTTTCACTAATAAGGACATTTTTAACTACAAACATTTGTTGTCCTAACGCTCAATAACAACTAAAAAACAACGTTAAATAAGCAGCAATGTATCTGCTGATATCTGTCACAAAGCCTCATTGTTACACCTGCGGGACAAGGAAGTTGCTAATATTAAGAACAAATGATCCTAACTTAGGAGTCGAAGTGGAAGTACAAACGTTTGTCACTAGTTAATTCTCTAGCATAATTTTTGTGTTAACTCTAACACTCGATCCCAAAAATGCAAAACATCATGTGAACCCATTAGAAACAAGTGGTACAAGAGTGGGTGCCCACCGCCGTTCCCCCTTTGGTTTAGTGAAATATTTATGTAGAACATACTATAAGATGACCCAGCCTAGAGTTGCATATCTTCCCATTGCACTCTAATGTGAAGTATAATAAGTTGAGCCACCTCAGCCAGGAAAAGATTAAGGAAGGTTTGGCTCCTCGTAGAGCAATAGTAATTTCACTTTTTACGTGCTCATTATCAGCATTGTCGTCAGATACCAAGAAAGCGTTCACAAAGATTTTGCAGACAATTCTGAAAAAGTGGGGGGATGGTCGCTCAGAAAGCGAAACTGCAGAAAGAGTACAAGGCATTGCTCCAATGGTTAAAAATCACTAGTTAGGCGCCTATTCGGACATAGGTGCATGACCGGTATGTTACGGTATACAGAAAGACTGATATAGCTGAAAATTTCAAAAAATGAAGAAAAGTTTAGTATTTCCAGATGCATAGTTTCTCAGTGGAATGCTGACTGCCTGTGTGAGACTTCCAGGAAGTTATTTTCAACAAGGTCATGAGGATGTGTCTTTGGAAACAAATAGCCTGGTTATTATGAATGCTCCTACCTGATGTAACTGGAAGAGCTCTCCGAGGTTTTCTTGAAAGTAGGATGCAAGCAATGGGAGGAGGCAGACAGCTGCTGCGTTTTGATCTTTGAACTCTGCCTCGGCCTTGTTGATTTTGAGGCTCCACTCGAGCACAGCATCATTTTTGGGGCTTGAACGTAGGAATGTCACGAGGAGGAGGACATCTTTGGGCAGGCTCAATTTTCCGTCCAGACAGACACCTGTAAGCCTTAAAAAATTCATGTTATCACTGACTCCTCATATCCAAAATCTTTGTAATCAAAATACCTTTTTGCGAAAAGCAAAATATTGAAGGAAAGAAATCTGCAAGGACCACTGTATGGTGAAAGTAGCAATCGTATTCGTCGTTCAAAGCACCTTTTTATGAGCATAATAGTGTGTGTTTGTTTTAGGAGTGAGTGACTCTTGCAAAGAGCTGAACATATTCTGCCTTTTTAAAAAGGTATATTTGTGCAAAAAGATTTTCAGGCACACATGCCAGGAAAAACTTTGAAACTGCTGCAAGTTTCCAATTTGCCTTCTTTTTATATTCACTCAGTTATGTGTGCCTCCATGCTGCAGTGCTGAAATGTTTCTTGCCCTCTACCACAGGCTATTGTGACTGCTCTACCAGGACATTGAAGCCATAGTTACATTTATAGTTAATGATATTCCCCACATTCTAATTGCTTACTCACGCTGCCCTAGTCCATATGCAACTAAAACAGTGGCCACCAAGCCCGAGCATTATAATGGTTAATAATAAAAGGAACACTTTTTTGTCAAATTTGCAGCTCCCATTGCCGTCAATTCTATAACTATAGCTTTGCATTTTTCGTAACCCTGTAAATAACTCTAAACCTGAGTAAACTCATGGACAAATATTTATGAAAATTATACCTATGGAAGTGATCAAGGAGGTGCTCCCTCACAAAGAGAAGTGGCCACGCTCGTTTGACATCCAATGCTGAATATGGAGGCTCTGACGAATTTATGAACGTCCTGATGGGGGGGTTGCACTCAGCCATGGCCTTTGTTTGAAGGCAAATGTTTTGTTCACATGCCGACTCAATGCCTCGTCCAATAGAAACTTTCTTGAGGCTTCCACTTCATGAAGTGAAGAACTCGTAGTAGCATGCTGCCAGTTCACACAACCGTAAGCTGATCGAGATGTCTGCTTCTTTAGCTTGATGGTTCCACCAGTGAGCACTTCCGCAAGGCGTTTGCATCCTCTTCTGTTATTTTCTATCCTGTTCTCTATTTTGTAGGCCAGGCCTACAGAAGAAACTGACGTAGCTGAGCAGGAAGTGGGGTCCCCAAGTGCCTCAGGGTACTTGTCAACAAGGTAACTGGCAGCACTCCTTATTTCACGTGCAGATGGTCTAGCCTTGACTTTTTGACAGGCCGCGGCAGCCATGCGCACAACTTCTTGTCGTTCAGTCGGATTAAGTTGAGTCCCCTCTTGCAATGCTTTTATGACTTCTTTGCTAAGGCTGCTCCAGTGAAACGGAACTTGTGAACCAAAAGGCACATCGACACCTTCATGTTGTGTTGATGTTACATCCCCCTGCTGACCTGAAAACGAAGTGCCAAACATCATTCCAAAAGAGGCAGACAAAGAAAAGAATAGTGATAATAAAATAACAGTGCAGCACCATATTCAGTTTAAACTTAGGGGAACATTTCTTTTGGCTGCGGTATTTCAAAATACAATGCGACAGTAACTGAAGGAGGTCGACATCCAAACTTCGGGCCACCAAGATGCTCTACCACAGAGCGACGATGCAAAGCAATGGAGCTTGAGGGAGGTACACATAAAAGACATGGTATTTATGTAATCATATCAAAAGTAGGAAATTGGCTTTATCATAACAACCGCCATCCCGCCTCATCCGATTGCAAAGACATACTTTTGTAAAGTATCTCCTTGCAACATCATGTCAGATGGTGTCAGCTAGCTGTACAAGCTGACGAAACGTTCGAGAACAAGTTAAAACAATGACTAGGCCAGCAAGGTTGACAAACACGTTTTAGCTCAAGCAAGTAATTTCTTTTTTCCTTTGGTCTTTTTGAAGGCCTAGAGATGATCAATCTTTGCCAGTTATTTGATATAAATGGCTTCCCTTAAAGAGCCTGCACCACCCGACTGTTTGATGTGCCCTTAAACAAGCTTGATCCACCGTTCGTATGAGCCTACTGGCATGTGGACCTGTCTTTTGTGCTTCACAACAAAAAAGTGTGCTTTGCCACGACAAGCCTTAAAGGGAAACTAAAGTGGTTCTGTATTCTCGAAAAATTACACACTTTAATTATCTTCTTTTGGCCCCCAGGACCACTAATATTGGAATTATTTTTCAGTCTGATGCGAGGAGCAGTCGTAACAGTGCTTTGGAAATAGCGCCAAAGCCCTGTCATCTCTGAGCGTGACATCATACCCAGATTTGTCGGAACTTCTGCTCTTGCGTGCCTACAATACCCATCAAAGCTATGCACGTGCACTCTTGATATTGTCATAAAGGCCAGACAAAAACGTCACAACCAGTTTCACATGCAGGGTAATATACCTGGCAAGCTTGCAATTCCATGTGCTGCCCACATGAGCAAAACGCGCTTGGCGGCCGAAAAATCTGGATATGACGCAACGACCGGCCTAAGGTCTCTCGAGTTTTCTCGCATTTAGTTAATCTTCAGGATTCACGGGATAACATTATGCTGGAATCTGGCTCAAACTCAGTTTTCTTAAGAACCACTTTACTTCCCTTTAAAGGCAGACGCACAGGGAGCACTTTCTGCATGGCTGAAATCCCTCCCGTAGTGTCCTCTCCCCTCCCTCTTGCACTCTTCTCTCCTCCTTCCCCGAAAACAGAATGTCCAAAAACTAGCCCCCACAGAGAGGAGGCAGTGTCTCTTCCTCTTTGGGGTGCAAACGAGGAAAGCGAGGGACAGCTTCCTAATCGGTTTGCATTCCTCAGCCTTTAAGAGTGTTGGCTATTCATTTCGGTAAGTACAACCACTGGTGCCAGTGTCATTGCTTGTTTTGTTCTCTTCTTGTGCATCTGAGTTCTGTCAGAGAAAACCAATAAGCTAACTTTTTATGTCTTTCATGTGTTCGCTTACAAAACACAATGAGCACAGTACCTATAGGTTTTCCAATCTCACGAAAGAGAATACCAGCTCACTTTTCTGGACAGTAGACATATTCTAGAATATTAATAAATATTGTTATTATATTGTGTAACTAAAATTCCAAGCAAAATAATCCAAGTGCATTTCTTTGTAGTTTGTGGTTACAGTCTTTGAAACTTCTAACTATGCCATCGAAGTGTTACGTTTGAAGCAAAAACTCTATACTGCACGTCTGTTGCTAATTGCCTGCATAATAAATAAAGACTAATTGGCAGAAACTTTGCTAGGGAACCTTTATCAATTAAATAAGTTCTTTTTTTCCGTTCTATGAAATTAGGTGTTTCGAAGTTATTTTTCATTTCTCATATTACGTCATAATTTGCTTCACATCTGCTTTTAACTGAAAAATTACTACTCCCCCATTCCTAAAGTAAATTCAAGCTTGGACTTGCCTGACACCCAAGAATCTGTTGTTGCAATGAAGGTGTAAGTAGCATCCTCAGGTGACTGATTCAAACAATTGAAAGCTTCTTCGTCCACCTCCGTTCCATCCAGCATGTGTACCTGGAAACAGGGTATGTTATTTTGAGAATAAGAATGGCTAAGTACATCATTTCAACTGCTGAAATTATTTTACAAACCTTGATGTCTCCATTGCAGCATATACCGAACTCTATGGCCTTTTTCTTTATGGCGTCGAAAGTGGCAACCACTGCCACTTTCTTTATTGTTTTATCAAGGCTCCAGATCTTGACTATCATCTGAAAAACAGTGAACGTACAAATGCAAAGTTTATGTTATGTGCTACAAAACAATTGTAATTTAGAAACAAAATAAGGGTGCAAGTTAGCTGGTAAAGCATTGCTACAATTTAACAGGGTGTCTACAAAATTAGTGATCTTAAATGCCCCGACTTTTCCCAGTTTTTCCCTTGACTATTTTGATAAAATCCCGTGAGCATTTGCGGGTGAAAGGACCATATTTCACAAACATTATTCGGCATGGCTGTGCTCATGCGCAACCATCTAGCTTTGTTCCGCATTGCCATTCCACTTTTACTGATCATTTTCCCTGGTGGGGCCAACGTTTTGACGATATTCCGATAATTTCACGACTTTTCCAAATGGAAACCTATTTACGTTACTCCCCACTACTGCAAACTAAAGTTATTAGACATTGCGGGTGTAAAAACTAGGGAGCCTTCATGTGCGCTTTGCTAGGGTGATGCCACCCTTTGTAATACCACTCACCGACAAACCAGCAGCCATTTTGGTCCTTGGCGATAATCCGTGGGCTTATAACCCTCCCGGAAACAAACACCTTATCTCACAAGTTCGGAGCAGCGTTGTGGAACCCACGGAGGGAGGATTAGCATTTCCCCCCTCGGATGGGAGGACCGATGGACACAAAGGCCACTTTCCGGCGCACGGGGAAACAATTAGGAACAAAATGGCAGTGGACGAGGGTGTGGGAAAGGGAAACAGGCAGTTGGCATCACCCTATGCGAAGCGCACATGAAGGCACCTTAGTAAAAACTTGCAAAACGAATGATATAATATATTTTAAAAAACTAGAAAAGCCTGCCTAGAGGTTTTTTGTTTGGCCTACATTTTCCAATTGTCTGTGCTATACTGAAAAAGTGAGTTGCAGGGTGTCCCCCGTTTTTAAATTTAAGGTAATTTCCACACAAATCACTGGTATCATACCTTCAAAATCGTCGAACAATAGTGAACTCCGCAGCCTGATCACAAGACAGTTGAGGAGTCTGTACGGGACATATGCATGTATGTCCATCAGCTGAGAGGAAGACAACAACTGTAGCTCTTCCACTTCCAATTCCGTCAACTTGTAGAGCCTGAAGTTTGGGAGGAATGCAGACGCTGCTTTGTTCACAAGAAATAATGGAGTTGCCTCATGGCCAGACTCTACCACAATATGCAGAAGCTGGCCGAACTGCAGGTTGCACTGGTCCCCACCAAGCACTATGTAAGAACCTGGCTTGTAATGTGTGCCACATAGTGTCACTGACGAAGCAGTCATCAAGGTTTCATGACTAGTGGGCAAGTTTTTCTGAATGAAGCACCACAAGTTTTTGTCGAAACTGGCTATTTCAGATGCAGGAGCCAGGTCACTGAACGCCCCAGCTGGTCCAAACAAGCCTTCCTTTTGCAAGTAAGACTGCAGGAGCTGGTGTTTCTGAGCAAGTGACTTTGTAACATTAATAAAGTTGCCAGATGCTCTAATGCAACGTTTGAAGTAGCTGTGCTTACTTTCGAATCGGAGAGACCATACCTTCACGAGTGGTCCAAACTGTTTAATGAGATAAGGATAATGGAATAAATAATGATGCTTTGGACGAAGTGGAACAGCTGGAAACAACCTTACCCTCTCACAGATGTAATCACTGATCAAGAGTGCCAGATATGACACTTGGTCATCTGAAATGACAGTTGCCATGACGAGTTCTACAATCTGTTGGAGAGTCAAAAGGAGACGTCACATTTCGTTAGTTGCATCCTGAACTTTGTCTCCCACCATTATTGGTAGAAGTAACAAAAGGGTGTAGTTTTGCAGTGCCTGGCCTCCAAGCTTTTTACCACTTATGTTCATTGGAGCTGGCTCGTTCCTTCGGTCACACGCGTTGTACTTAAATCTGAACTGTATTGTTGCATTAAGATGGTGGTAAGAGAACCATTTCAGTGTTTTCACGAAATAATTTATCATCAGTGCAACGTCGTAGTCAACAACACCTTCAAAGAGATCATGCCCAAGACATGGCGGGAGCCCAGGAAGACAGACATGAAATGTTGAAAGCTTGTTGAATGGAGAGTCGTGTTTGACTCCCATAAAACCCTGTTCTTGGCTGTCCTTAGCACGGTTGACTGCTTCAGTGTATGATGAAACAGTTCGAAGCTCTGCTGGCTTGTTGTTCCTAAAATCTTGCATGGTTGTAACACAGTACCGGCATATGTAAGAGTCCATGCTGAAATTCTCCACAAAGCCGCCAATGCTATGGCTTCCAAGGTTGTCACCGCATATAAAATCAAGCTGCACAACGTAACGGTGCCCGTTCACTGTGATGCCATCTTCAAGATCTTGGAGGTCACTGATGAGTCGCTCGAAGAGCTTCCTACAACCAAAGTGCTTAAAGTCTTTATCATGGCAAAGCAAAACAAGCTGTTGAGGGTCAACTACGGTTCTGAGGTAAGCTGGTAGGTTTCCAAGCGTGAAGTATACCGCTAACATTTTAAACTTTCCACGGGCTGATCCAAGGGGATTGGCGACTTCGAAAGCATCTTGGTATAAGATTACCGATACAGTACTGCCATCGGATGATATCCGGCTTTGAAAAACTTTGCCGTCTGTGAATTCCCGATACACACCATCGTTG